GAGGGCTACAAAGGGTGTTATGGGCATCAGGCGGAAACCCTATGGGGATAGGCCGAAAGACCTAGGAACTCATTCTCTTAGCTACCGTAGGTTACGTGGTGGCCTGATAACGGCTCACAAAATGCTGTGTAACCCAAGTCATCCGACAGTGGAATCCTACCAAATGGCCACTGTGTCGATCCCAATGGTAACCCAAATAGAATTCCCCACCAAAGGGCAGAAACCCATGTTAGTTCAGACGTCTTCCCTCTGAGAGTTTGCTGCCACTGGAACACATTGCCTGATGAGATTGCTACTCCCTCCGCTGACAGCTTCAAGAAGAGGTAGCATAGTCACGCAGCGACGCACGTTTTGCGCTCATCCAGCTGGGATATGGATTAGGTTGATTCACTGTACTAACTCCGCACAACTCAACACAGCCAACCCATTACCGAATCTCTTGTACTGCACTGACATGGCGAATCAGGCTCAACCTTATGCTTCCCTGTAGACATCTCCAGTTATTATCTCCTACTAGTAGTATTATTATTTCTGTTCCCATAAGCCGTCCCATAATGTTATCTTCTCCTGCTCTTCCTACTGGCTTCATATTCTCACGCTATCTGATAAAAGCTGTCCTTATCACTCCTCTCCCATGCATCTACCGAGATTTATTCTTCCGTTCCGTTTCCTTTCACCCCATCGTTCTTTTTGTTTCTTTTTCTCTAGACTCCTACCCCTCTAATTTATCTGGACATATTTTCCATCATCTTTTGACAACCAGTTCGATCAAATATCCGGTGGAAAGGACACTTAAGGAACCTATCTGTACCATAACCGTTGAAAAAACTACACACTCCCTACAAACTTAACCAACATCCAACCGCCCATCGGGCTAACCAGAGCTACGACAGGCAAGTGGGTAGATCTACTACATCGGAATCCACCAAAGACCTGGAACCGTTCCGCAAAACCTAGAAGCGAGCGCGAAAAAATCAATTGGTTGGCACTAGCTCGAAAAAGATACTGGGTATTGACTATTGTATCGCGCTGTGGTCTAACTGAAGGTTGGATATTTGTCACTTTCCGCACGTTTCTCATGCTAGGTGACTCGTTATCAATTTTTCTTAAAATAAAATTGATAAAGTGAAGCTTATAAGTGCTTAACCATGTCTTGTCTTTCTCTCTGTAAACGTAGGCAGTCAGTATCGCCATGAGTCTTGACACTTACTGTGATCCAAGGGAATTCCTTTCCACTTAAATGAAACCTTAATAACGGAATCTCGGTGCACATTATATGCAGTTAATCTAATCACATTGTTTCCAACATATGAAAATATAACTATTGCTTATTTCATAGCTTAATAGTACTTTTAACATTATTGCTCATTAATCTTTTATGTCGTGAATGTATGCAAAAGTAGACAGTTTTAATAACTGCAGCTAAGGCAGCTAATAGCTCGCAGACTGTATATACCCTACAACAGTTTCATTACTGCCAAAGCAATCTGTTGGTAGACGAATAAAGTCAGTGGACCTAAGGTGGTGACCACGTATACTTATGTGAGAAAATATGGTGGTTGCAGATATATCTATTGAGTTCATAAACTGAATGCATATAGTATCACTATTAACCGTAGTTTTGTAAAACGTGACTGAGGTACCCCAATCATTTTTATCTTTCAGAGGATTATTTTGTCTGGATTTCTATTTGTATCAACCGTAGGTCATTGTCTGTCCAGTCTTCTTCGCTGGACTGTGTTCATCAAGTCATTAGTTCTTCAAAATGCTTACTCCCGGTTACTAGTATAAATATGAACTTGACATCATTTTAAGAACGGAACGGGGGGGGAGGGTTATGATATCAATAGTTATTGTATGTGGTTACTCATATAAATACATGGGCTTGCACTCATCCAACTTTCTGTCGATATGAAAAAATTTTGAGAAGACTTTCTGCAGCTTGCTTTTGCAAAGTTTTGTCTGGATAGGTTCGTTATTTTATCTCTAACCTGATAAGTTCAGCTTTACGCCTAAGTGATTCCTTCTTAATGTTCGTTATTTCTGATCAGTTAATGAAGAATGTTTGGCTTCTCAGTATTTATTTTGACCTTAATCCCTGGCCACCAGTCTTGTGTTAACACTTGCGGTTAATATTTCTTTAAAGATGCACCTATATTCAGAAAGCATTCAGTATAAAAGCTCGTAATTTGCTCTGATAGGGTTATCCATCTACATATCAGTTAGTGAAATTTCTCAGTGAATCTGGTTGTACTTTCTGTGGTAGTATTGACAATATTTAGAATTAAAAAAAACAAAATAAATATAAATCTCAGTATGGTTGGATATCTAACTGTTTCAATTCATTTAACTGCAATATATTATCTTTCAGTGTAAATTGCCCTTTACCACAGGTTGTTTTTTGAAGCTAGAGTTGACTTTCAAAGGATTTGGTACTGTGGTAACTTCAAACCATATCTGTATAAATGTACGCTTAATTACTTTTTATAGCCTAAGGCAGATACCAAGTACAATCTAAGATTTATACGTCCTTCAGTTTTGGTATTGTTGAAATTGAAAACAAATCTCTGAGCATTGTTTCGGTAATGGCGATAAATAGACTACCTGCGGATCTATAAAAAAATCAGCTTATTCCCACTTAATCGTAAGATCTGTAACTGAAAAACACCAAAATTCTTACCAGCTAACTTGGTTTGACTTCTAGTAATACCACGGTCACGGTCAGTCAGTCAAATTCAAACGTAACACTACTGCTTAACGGTCCAAGCCGTCACATTGTATATGATCACATCAAGGTAAATGGTACCATAAAGTGGAAAAATAAGCAGGAAATTCATTAATAAAAGTATAAAATTGCAAAAGGAGAGTAAGCATGGATGAGAATCATAGAATTCAGTAAAATCCCTAGAAAATGGATAATGTATTGAAACACCTGGACCACTGAGATCGACTCAGGGTTATATCACCTAGAGTCTTCAATCACCAGTTTTTTTTCGCCTAGCGGACGCTAACTGGGGAACCTCAAACCAGCAATCAGAAACGTCATACATTGGTATAACAACTTTAGATGAGCAGCCTTGATATCCTTCCAAACCAGTCCTGCTTCTGATAACATCATGCTCCTAGGTAGGTGGTAGCTCAGAAGGCACATCTACAAGCCGTTTCACTCGGTGTAGGTTCTTAACTTCGTCAAATGATTTGCCTTCCTTTCTCGGCGCCCGTTACATAACCTCCACACTGCCTACACTATGATTCCATCAAGCGTTAGCTATGCTGCAAAGACACACATGATCAATGACAACTATTTTTTTCACATTTACTCTCAATAGACATGTCTAGTAGCCGTACAATAGGGCAGTGCAAACTGCAGTGCAGTATATTCGCCCTTTAACAGGTAGTCGGATATTTTGCAGTTCGGTGCCACAGATGATGCAAGTTGGCAAAGGTCAAAAGTGCCTCCTGTATCACAATTGAGATTTCTATTGAGAATTGGAAAACACATTCTACCACTTCACTCTCTATCCTTAAACTGGAAGCAACTGGAAATCAGCCTTGAAACATCACACCACATTTGACCGATGAAGAATCCATGCTAAGCACAAGCATATTTCTGCTCAATGCGCTCCGAAAACTGTGCATCTGGTCAGCGTTTTCACCTAACAGAAATATGTCATCTAGGTACTCCCAGGAGTAAGTCAATCCTTGTAAAGTTGGAGGTAGTTAGGGTTGCACATTGGTGAACCAGCAGTGAAGCTAAACAAAAGCGGTAATAGGAGACATCCCTGTAGACACCATCGGTTGTTGTTACAACACATGACAGCTCTTCATAGGCCCTTACACGGCTGTATGAGTTTGAGAAGAAATCTCTTATTAACACTGCATACTTGCTTGGTGCTCCATTTCACAGTCAGGCACTGTCTCAAAAACTCGACTGAAAGAGTCGAACACCACCTTCAGATCAAGAGATGTGGCAAGTATCGGCAGCTGGTAAGTAGGCCTGCATTTCAAGACCCGTTGAAAGACAAAGATTTGGTTGATGCATCCTCTCCCGGCTTTGAAACCTGTCTAGTTTTCTTGAATTTGTTGTTTTCAAGCTTCAGTCAGGTGTCGAATAACTACAGAGGATCTTGGACGCAATGTTAGTCAAACTGATCCCCATACGGTTGCCGCAAGAAGACTAACTGGCAATCGAAATAAGTCCGACTGGACTTCCTTCGATTCTCATATATTAACTACTGCCTCCGTTACTCTACTCAATAATTTACCACCTCAAAAAATTCTGGTGGCAAATCGCTATGTTCTCCTGCTTTGCATCGTTCCAGGTTTGAAGTAGCCGTCGCAGTTTTCAGAAGAGTTGAAACACTATTGTCCACCCCCTCCCCCATTTCGGTTCGGGCTGCATATTGCCGAGTATCACTTAATGTTGATGCCTTCTCCAACCCTAGCTCTCTCTGCCAACTACCGGTCGTGATCATTTTGTAGGCTCTTAGTCTATTTACTTTTCAGCTGCTTTAGTTCCTCATTGTAATCAGAGTCAGGTGGCATGAATCTTATGGTATTACTCAGTTCGGATGTGGTTGCGGAAATCCATTGGCCTTTGCTGACCTTTGGATGTACACTATCAAATATCTTTACCTCTTTTTCTAGAGGAGACTGAATATTACACCAGGTTTAATCTGGATAAGAATTGCTGTCACGTTCAGATAAATGCTTAGTTATATTCTTGAAATGACTGACGTTCTTATCTTTTAACCGAGCACTCGAAGGCTTCGTTGACACCCGTTTCCTTTGACCACTAGGGCACAAACATTGACGTGCTCTCTAACCCCTGTTCGGAGTCCAAACGCGTACTGCAGAAGAAATGGCGATCCTTCTCAATAATGACTCGTAACAATGTGATTTATCTGTGTTCATCATTGGTTTGGTATAGATGACCGACAAGTGAGACAGTGTGTCTCTTTGTGCTTGAAGTTCTTGCTGGCCAGAAACAAGTGACTGAAGACAAAATTACAAGATACATTCACCATTGTCAGTTTGTTGGCGTGAGATAACGTAGATACCTCCGATGTCTTTCCAATTGGCTCACCTTTACTTAAGCGTTGAAATCGCCTGCTATTATGACTGGATCTGAGATTTTGTTTCAATTAATGAAATAAACATTTGACAGAATTCATCCTCTGTATCATGTGAACTGCAGTCTATGGGTGTGTAGCGGAGATTATGAATGAACAACGTCAAGTCTCGTGATACCTCCTAGTTCTTAAAAATCCGGTCAATGGGACAACACACAAGCGTCAGTTGACTAGCCTCCATTCCAGAATTGCGCTTAATGCTCGAGAACAATGCTATTTCTGTAGCAGCTAGTTCATATGAATCTTCCGATTCTCGTAAAGTGGAATTTGTAGGTCCGTCGCATTGGTCAGCTTAGTTCAAGTGAGTAACGACATTTGGATCCTGTATACGCATCTCAGAAAAATACCATACATCCATTCCATATTATATTTGTTTATTTGATTTATAACACAGTGATACAGTATTATTTACGTATTATTTACGTTTCGAGCATAAATTATTGCTCATAATCATATGGATATGAGCAATAAATTATGCTCAAAACGTCATCAAGTAAATAACACTGTGTTATAAACCAAATAAACAAATATAATATGGAATTACATTCTACCACAGTTCCAAAGTTCTACACTTACGTTAAGCACAAATCCATAGCTTGACGTTCAGGAGTTCTAGGGAGAGTTGCCAGTTGTCCAATTTGGCATGGAGTTGACATGTCGAAAGCTCCAGTGCGCAATCGACTAGGGGTTTTAGGAGACTAGGAGTGGTGTTGTCAATGGTCACAGAGTGAGAGGTTGAGAAAGTTGTTAGGGTCGTAGTATTGGTATCAGAAAGTGAAGGCAAGGAGAGGGCAAAGTTAAGGAGAGTAGGTTACGGTTGATTGGGTTTTGCATTCTGTCGCAAGCTTATGGGTGACTGAGTCATCCTAGATGCCCATATCATATAATTTGTTTCTGCAGGGCATCTGAAAAAGAGAAACAACCCAACTGATATCAGAGTGTGGGCTCTAACGTGCCCAGGGGTGTTCAAACACAGAGCCTTCAACAGAGTGATCCATTTACTTTATGTTCGTTCTTTAAGACATCTCGATCGACGGAGTCGAGTGTCGTTGTCAGACCAAAAAGTGCAGCTAGCTGTGCTGCGATGGTGAGTGTACCTTTGTTCCAGAACCTGACAGTGAATATCTGGTGGATACACTCACAACCAGGTCTAAAACCTGCCTAATTTTCTCGCGTTTGTTGCCCTGGAGCGTCACTTAGGTGTCTAATAATTATAGAATCTAGAATTCTATGTTCATCAGACTGACTCCCCTGTGGTCATCACACGTGTATTTCCTCCCTTTCTTGAAGTCTGGGATATAACCACAGAAGTTCATATCTGATTTTCATTCACTAGGTAGTACTTAAATTAACCTAGTCAACATTCTACGATTATCCATACACCTCTGGTAGCTTGTCATCCGATTCCGCTGTCCTCCCTCATTTCAGTTTATTCATAGCCTTCTCAACTTCTGTAAAAGTTTAAAGGCCTTATGTCAAAATTTCATTCGGGAATTGACTAGACGGTGAGCCACGGAATAGTAACCGAATGTCAGTTAAGTTGTTCCCCGAAGTGTCTTATCTATCGTCTCAGTCGGACCAGAGAGGATAGCAGACCCATCCTTCAACATAGTACCACTAACCATCAACTTATTTGCCCCAGTTTCTTTGATAATTTTAAAGAAGTATCTACTGTTGGTAACAGGTTTGTGTGCGCTCAGTCTAATTTTTTCGGAATGATCAGTGAACACTTTTTGATGCCTATTAACAATCCAGGGATTAGGAACTCGTTAATTAGTCACTTAGTGCATCACAGCTGTCACCTGAGATTTTTTCATTGGCATATTCAATATACGGAACTGTGTGTCATCACTTGTCTATCTATTTACCTTTCTTTTTATTCCACTTTTTTCGACATTTGGAACTCACGTTTGCATGTCCAGAAGTAGATTTAACATAAGGATAAAACTTGAGCACTGTTGTAGAATGTGATTCCATTTTAGTTGATTTATCACACAATGAAACGGTATCGTGTACTGGATTACGTTTGCACATAATTTTTTATCCATAATCATATCAACACAACTTTGAGACATCCTTTATATAGTCCTAATTTCCTCGCCTCCTTTGTCATATAGGTAGTAGGATTTTCTATATATCCGATACAGGTGCTGAGTTATTCCTGTTCTATATATTAGGTGTTGATTCGATAAACAAAGATTCAAATGTCAAATCCCTCTCCACCCGGCTATATTGGCTTTAGGGATTTTCACCCTGTCCCATTCTACTCTGTGGTGGTGTGTACTTGCATGCAAAGCTATGGCTCCGCTTTTTTCAAATCTCTTATCTAACTAGGATTTACCAATTCTGACGTAGCTAGGTAGGTAAAAAGATCCTACAGATCCAATTGAGCAGAATAAGTTAGTTTACCAAATCCCTTGCAACGATTGCGTGATCAAAGTAGTCGATCAGGATGAATTAGGCTATCTGAACACAAAAACCTAGCTATGTCAGAATTGGTAGATCCTAGTAAGATAAGGGATCTGAAAAAAAACTGAGCCATAGCTATGCATGCAAGTACACACCACCACAGAGTAGAATGGGACAGGGTAAAAATCCTTAAAACTAACATAGAGGGGTGGAGGGGAATTCGACATTTGAATCTTTGTTTATCGAATCAACACCTAATATATAGAACAGGAATAACTCAGCACCTGTATCGGATATATAGAAAATCCTACTACCTATATGACAAAGGAGGCGAGGAAATTAGGACTATATAAAGGATGTCTCAAAGTTGTGTTGATATGATTATGGACAACAAATTTTGTGCAGACGTAATCCAGTAAACGATACTGTTCCGTTGTGTAATACATCAAATAAATCAACTAAAAGCGAAGTATGTTTGGGCTGGAAAAGCGCCGAAAGCAATCGGTATAAAAAACAATACCAGTGCATGAAGTCTCTGAATGTTGGCCTGAGCCATGTATAGAAATGCAGACTTCGTGGACGGGTTTTGCATGAAAATCGAAATTAGTGGTTAGAGTTTAGTATGTTTGACTGAGAATCGATCTGTTGCGCAGGTGGGTCCATAGTTTATCTTCATTCTAATCTTCATATCATATTACTTACTATATCTCTTCTATGCTTATGACTTTCTATGACTCGACTGCATTTTCTCTCATTTATCCATCCTTTGTTGTGTCATAGTATGCTGTGAACCGTTACACAGTAGCGTTGGGTCCTATGTTGATTCTGACTACGTAACTAGTTACTTTGATAGTGGATAAAGTGTAAGCTTGTATTCGTTGGGCTAAACTTACTATTTGCTTGGTGAATTCCACTTTCATCCTTACTTCTAAGCGTATAAATAAATAGTTAACACGCATTCCTCTTATCTTGGAGTCTACCCAGGTTAAACACCAACCTATGTCACTGACCTGTTATTGGAACTGTGGCTTATTGATTTAGGGGAATGACTCAGCCAGTCGTGGGTTCGAACCCTGCCTTACCTGCTGAGGTTTCGACCACTAGGGAGTCAATTAGTACTCATACAACACGTGTGGCTTATTGCCTACTGCACGAATGTGCACAACGTTGCTAAGTGCATTCCGATTTTGACTTATCTGTTGAAGGCATACCTATGTACTTGTGCAATCTATCAAACACATGTAGGATAAAAGCTACATATACTTTTTGAGTACCAAGGAGTTTGTCCGATTCGCACAGCTATTTTAAATGGAGTCGATTTCGTGCTTTTAAGACACAGAAATAAAGTTATGGAACCACCTGCTCTGTTTCATATCCTCAGGTTACTTTGATTGAGTTACAAATTATGTTTAAAATTCGATTTCTTGCTATATTTATTCAATTTAAACTCAAATCCTTTAATCATAACCATGTAGCATGACGCAGAATACCGGCATACCAATCAGTTACCCAGTGATGTCCCCAATGGATGATCTGAATAAGTATGCACATTTGTTACAGGTCATTGAAGAAATGGGACGAGATATCAAACCAACTTATGCAAATAACAAAAATGCTGCTGAGAGACTGAAGAAAAATATTCATACAGCCAGAATTTTGGTCAGAGAGTGTGTTTCAGAACTGGAACGTGTCATGAAGGCTTAATCCTCACATTACGGATTTCGGATAGACAGAGTTTTCTTAAATAAAAGCATATTATCATATATTCTTTAGTCTGTATTTTCATTTTTCTAGGTCGGTTGCTTCCTATTGAACTTGAGAATAACGTTGTGTAGGAAACAAAATCGACGAACGCCTGGTTATTCCGCGTGCAGCTTGGTTTTTGCATTCGCTATTCATTAGTTATTTGTGTTCAGGAAATATATCTTCCTTCTAAATTGCTTAACACAGTTACAGCTGCATGTTGCAATTTTCACTATTTGTTGAACTCAGTTATCCTGGTACTGCTTAAGACGTCTTCATCAGGTTAAGAGACGACTAAGAAGCCAATAAAATTTGTGGGCAAAATATGAGTTATTATTTTGGATAAAACATCCTGTCAGATTTGTAAAGCATAGTAGGCTCTACAGGCCACCAATAATTGTAAGTTACCTATGATGGAGGTGTTAGGAGTAAGTGGTTGGTATTCCTGTAGCATGATTCAAAAATGATTGTAATGGCATGAAGTTACTCCTTACCACTAATTTATCTGTTTACTGTACTTCTATGTCTATCGTGTTGGTTTGAATTTCTCTCTACCTCGTGAATTTTCCCTTTTATCTTCATCAATTGTATCAACTTTAGCTAGGAGAGTAGAGTCTAATTTCTCTGTGTAGATTTTTACAAGAAAGGATGTGATTAGCTACTTTTTCATCGGTAGCTCATGGTTGACTTGTAATCACCAATCATTTACCGAAAGTAAACCATGAAACAGAAATAGTATTCCAAGCAGCTGTCATGAAAGGAAGCTGTTTGAAGGACTTATTAGTAAGCGGATGTGCACTCGAGAGTTCACTACTTGACAACTATCCGTTTTGAAAATCGCAGATAATTGAGCATGACGGTGATGTGTGTTAGTGTGAACTGTGTTGGTAGGTGCACGTCATGTATATGAGGTTCTCAAGGTGGTAAGAACCAATTATAAATTTAGAATGATGCGAGCGCATTCACTTTTCGGTATTTTATAAATCTTTCTTCGTTACGCACCTACTTCCTACCATCGATACTCATTTCGTCTATTGGGACACCTTTTTCGCATACAGTTCTCTGTTGGATGTAGATATAGAGTGAAAAGGAGATAAGTTAGTGAAATGCGTTTTCTTTTCCGACGATATCATTTTCTAAAGCTGTACAGTCGTATCACAAACGTATAGCAGTCCTTTATTGAACAATAGGATACATCTAACCAGTGCTTAAGATCGAAATCAAGAGTGGAAAGTATTTACGCAATAATCTTTTAGACAATAAAAATAATGAGAGAGTCAAGGACTTTGACAGAATGAAAATTTTTGGTAGTTGCTAATATTAAGTGTCCACTTGGTAGTTTTAAAGAAGAAGCAAAAAACAAGGGTCATAATAAATGTGATAATAGTACACTAACTAATTATGGTGTGATCGAAAATTGTGTTAAGACCATTGTAAAATATAAGATTCAACATACTTCTTCTGCACGCAGTGATCAGGTTTGAATTGGCGAATTGCCAGTGCTTTTGCTGTGCACAACTGTCGAAAGTGTACTCCTTTTGAGGTATTATCTTTGATTCTGTAAATGACACTGAACTCTAGTGGAACTATATGTTCAGAGTTGGTCAAGTGTTTAAGAATTATACTGTAAACTGGTATACATTCTCTCCTCGATAACCATACAGGATATTAATAATAATAGCTTTATTCTGAGAGCTATTTCGATATCATTTTCTAAAGCTGTACAGTCGCATCACAAACGTATAGCAGTCCTTTATTGAACAATAGGATACATCTAACCAGTGCTTAAGATCGAAATCAAGAGTGGAAAGTATTTACGCAATAATCTTTTAGACAATAAAAATAATGAGAGAGTCAAGGACTTTGACAGAATGAAAATTTTTGGTAGTTGCTAATATTAAGTGTCCACTTGGTAGTTTTAAAGAAGAAGCAAAAAACAAGGGTCATAATAAATGTGATAATAGTACACTAACTAATTATGGTGTGATCGAAAATTGTGTTAAGACCATTGTAAAATATAAGATTCAACATACTTCTTCTGCACGCAGTGATCAGGTTTGAATTGGCGAATTGCCAGTGCTTTTGCTGTGCACAACTGTCGAAAGTGTACTCCTTTTGAGGTATTATCTTTGATTCTGTAAATGACACTGAACTCTAGTGGAACTATATGTTCAGAGTTGGTCAAGTGTTTAAGAATTATACTGTAAACTGGTATACATTCTCTCCTCGATAACCATACAGGATATTAATAATAATAGCTTTATTCTGAGAGCTATTTCGGGAATACTCCACAGAATTTTCAGCACGTCATATAGCATCAGTTTGATATCGACAATGTATATGTATACATAGCAAAATGAAATAAGTAGAAATTACATGAAGAAAAGATAAAAAATTTTGCTCTATCTACAACTTCCTTCGAAATGCACAGTCAGTTTAGGTATACAATCACACTGACAATTAGACTCATAATACGTAGAAAAAGCAACACGCTCATCTTCAGTTAGTTTGCTTTCAAAAACAGAAGTTGATTAGATAGTTCATTTCTAATACTTTCTTGATCACAGCAGACGAGCTAAATACGGTATCGTAGATTTTATATTTTGTAGTACGTGCATAGAGTCTTATGTACTTGCTCCTTGCCTTTCCAAATGACCGACAAGCAGAGAGCTTCGAGTGAGGGGGGTGTTGGTCATCTGGTGAAATAACTCTTGGCGGATGTTCACCTGAGTTAATAATAGAAAGACCAGAGGTACACCACTAGTTCTGCTGGCAATCTCCAAAGTTATACGCAATATAGCGTAGTCTTCAATCACCAACCCGAGAAAAAATAAGGGGGAGCAATGGAGGAGAACAGGCAAGATGCAGGAGTTTGTAAAACAAGAGGAGAGGCTGCGTCATGCCAGATCTTATCAGCTTCCTAATGTAGGAAGTTAGGCGGGAAATTCTTTTTGGAAATTAGTAAGATATATGAAGACCAGGAAAGGTCCTAAAAAACAAACCAAGATAAATCACATTTGTAACACTTTCTGATGCGCAACTATCAATAGAACAGGAATCATGAGAAGTAAGCAGTTTACATGAGTTATTTTCACGTCTGAAGCTAAAATTTATGGAGGACCATCGTCTAACAGTAGGTGGGAAATCATTCGGCTGGGAACAATCTGCTGAAGAGAAGATAGGTGTGGAAACTGTTACGTCATCAGCATATTTAATGAAATTGATACCAGCTGAGGATGGTAGGTCATGCAGAGAGGATGAAAAAAGACTTAGGGAACTCCAGCCACAGTAAGCAATAAGGTGGAACGCTTCCCTCTGTGAACAGCATGTTGTTTCCTATCAGAGAAGCAGGAATGTAGCCAGCTGGTTATCCAGGGCTCAGTATTGGTCTCGGTCAGCTTGCTCAGCAAAAAAGGTCTTAGGACAGACAAACGCGAAGGTATAGTCTAGAAAGGCACACCTGACATGGCATTTTTATCAAGACTATAGGTAATGTCGTGATATAAGAGAGTGGTGACATCCAAAGTGCTTCTTCTGCTTTTATGTGTAAATTGATTAGGTTCTTCAGAAGCCTTCACTGAGGGCTGGAGCACAGGCAGTATAAGCTTCTCCATTATTTTTAAGAACGGAGAGGTAACTGCGATATATTGCTCAGGGATACGTTTACGAAGTGCGCGCTTTTTACATTCCATATGACCGGCTCCACAGGAGGAAGTTTTTTATTAGACACATTGGGGTGGCTCAAGGTGCCAACTTGTCTTCAATGCATCCCGGAACCAGTTGCTGACTACAGAAGACAGCTGAATTATCTCTTCTTTTCCGTATGTAGACAATCTAAATGGTGATTCGTGACATGAATAGCTTTATCGTATGCTTTCTGCACTTGTTGACAAGGGTTTAGATCTCCGCTGAAACATGAGTTACATTAGGATGTCAGATTCACTTTGGTAATTCATGCCAACAAATACGAAACCTAGGATTTTCTGCCATCCAACTGATAATGACTCTGTATATATCAAGATAGCATACCAAATACGTTTTCATTTAGAAATAGCTTTTGTTGCCGGTTTGTTTGAAGTGCTGACCTAACTGAAACAGAAATTATGTATCTAAATCTTCTTCAGTATTGTTATCGCTATTTGTTTGGCTGATCGCATAGCCATTACAGTGTGAAAAGTACACGTCATTATTTTTTCGCAAACACCAGAAGATATATTTCTCACAACCGAGACTGTGAAGTCTTATGAAACTAAAACGTCAGTCAACATCCATGTGCGTCATAGTAGTACTGCGTAACGCTCTAAGCTGCCATATATCATAACATCAAGGTAAATGGTACCAAAAGATAGAAAAGTTGTCAACAAAGAAGAGCAGGAATGGGTGAGACAATTATAAAATCCATTATGACGCCTAGGATGTAGATAATGCATGGATGCACCTGAGCTATATCACCTAGACTCTACAAACACCGATTCTGTCACCCTGGGGACGTTAAAATGGGAAGTCTACATCCTTCTACGCGGCTCAGAACAACGGTCAAACATTTCACGGACTGATGCCATGTCTCACTTTATGTGCTTCTTTCCAGCCTGAACCTACGTCAGTCAATATTGCACGACTGAGCAGATGGTGACTAGACATGCGTAACGCGTCCCAACCATCTGAAGGTTCACCTTATCAAGTGACTTACAGATCCTGCCCAAAACTAACCCTTACTGAGATGATGGTTCTGTGACATATTGCATATGCTACGAAAGTAACGTTCATCAAATAATATAGGGCTTCTCATATTCAATTTAACTGGCCACGTATAAAAACAGTGAACTGCTGGTCAAGACATCTGACCCATTTGGATTTCACGCCGTCACCGTGAATGATGCAATTTCGAAAAAACCCGGACCTTTCGTATCCGTTGTGAATTTGTCGGTCACTGACCCACCACAGTTAATTCCACTTCCCCAATATATGTTATGGTCAACGTGCTCAACACTTCACTACCTACTGTTAGACAATGCATCAACACATACCAATCCCCATATCAGCAGTTTGCAATTAGGTGGTGAGAAACGAATCCCGAACATCCTCAAGTCTCCATTCAAGGTGGCCAGAGAACTTTACACCTTGTTAGCCTTCTTACCATGCAAGACTACGTCATCTGTTACTAATGAAGACTACTGGTCATCTTGGTGACAGAGTCCAATCATCTCCATCTGCTGATGCTTTTTGGAGCAGTAAAACTAAATCAGGGAGATATTTGTGTCAACGAATGTGAAAGTTTGAGCAAAGTATTTTATAACTACGGGCATCTGAATACCAAATAAAAAGCCACTGACCGTAGTTTGTTCCTATTCACCTTAAGGTGTGTTAGAATAATTTCGCTGTTGATGCTTAGATTTTCGAGCTTCTCTTGCTCCTTCAGCAATCTCCAATTGAAGCCGCGTTTTGAAATTGAAGTAGGTAGTGTAATATATCTTGAAGTAATGTTGATGAAAAGTACGGTAAGTTAGTTCAGTACATATCCATGTTTATATTCACCTAGTCAAACCAAGGAATTTGATTCTAGGTAATGATGACATTTTTTTTGCATATAAAAGTCTGGAAGATAATGAGGTAAGCCCTTTTTTCTTTGGTTCAACACTAATGATGTATCAAAATATGGTTAAGTAGTGTATTGAGATTAAAATTAACAAAATAATATATATTACTACAGTAACAAAACAATATGTTGGAAAAATAAGGAATTTTTTTATCCGTAAATTATCTCCGCACAATAAGAACAGATAACCACAGATATAGGGAAATAATAAAGCCAGTTGCAAGAAAAAGATCTGGGAAAATAAACGAAGTTATGTACATCTCTTCATCACACTTTTCGTGCTCATGAATTTTTAGCTATACAGTACAATTATATACAAGATAAAAAATACCGGTAGGGTATCTTCGTGGAAAATTACAGCAACTTAGCAGCACCTGGTGATAAGGTAATCATTGCCAACTTAGTAAGTACAGGGATGGGATCATTTGTTGGTGACTTTCCCAGTGGGGAAGGATTGTAACTGCTTGACTGCTTTCGCCTCTTAATAGGTGTGCATTCATTTGGATTATTTACAGTTTTACCACAATATTTAAATGTTGCTCCATCTGGTATTGGTGATAACTTCACCTGAACAATAGGTAATTCACTCTCCATTGGCTTATTTATTTTGATTGCTGATGTTAACGCTGGAGAACAGCGAAGTTTTGAAGGATATTTTGTGTGACTAAGTGAAATAGAATTTTCCAGCTTCGTAACACGATCCTTTGCTTTACGCGTATAATTGACATCATCAAAATATTTGTCTGATGTTATCCACATGTTATAATTATTTGCGACTACTGTTAGTGCTGAGCGTAGTCGTTGCTTGATCGTATCGGGAACAATCAAACACTCTTGAGGAATGTTGAATGATTCAACAGATTCGCACGCTTGGGGTGCTAATTTACACTGAGTGGCCTCCGAGTAATCGACCTTACTCTTACAAACAGAACGCACTGGTGATGATTTTGTTACTTTCTTTGTTTCCTTAATAGGTGAACGATGTTTGTTGTCAACCGTGCGTTGAATGCAAGGATTACTTTGGGCTAAAAATAACTCCCAGTTGTCATAAACAGATTCACCAATATGAGCATTTCGGAGCCATTCGCTAGACACTAAATTGCTGTATATCTCAAGGGCAGACAATTGAATCTCAGATATACGCCACATTCGCTTGAATAAGGCCAGTTTCCGTCGTTCCCTTTGCAAAACCATATCTGCCATTAACCTAGCCCTATCGAGACCAAATCTCACACGCTTGAATGATTCGGAAGCTTTCATATCAGCATTGGCACGTTCTAATCGAGCTAATTCTTCTTTGGTTGTGGCAGCTACTTCATCTGCGCTTTCTCTCCATGACAACGGAACAGGATTGACTAATGGTTGATTGAAGTTTGTACGCCTCTTTAAACGCCAATAGACAACAATAGCTGCACGGATGTCATTGGGAACATTTCTACGTTCATTTTCATCAAGGATAGCTGAATTTTCTAGCTGAGTCTTTATAGAGCTATTATCCAACCACATATTTAGTTGCGACTCATCTACCAACTTATAAAAATCGTTCTCCAGCTCAATCAACCTGGAGGTGAATAAGTAAAAGGTTAAAAGTAAACATCTGTAAAATCTACGTGAAAATTTACTTTTTCAATAAAATACGGGCTGCTAGGATAGAAAACACTCACAACAGTCACCCAATATCAAAATGGAACCTGACGTAACTGCGTAAAAGTCGAAGTTGATACACTACATGCCAAAATACGCAGTAAGGAGATGAACGATACAGAGGGTAAGTTAATTTAATCAAAAACCGTAGAATGTCAGGGGGGGGGGAAAGAAAAGGGAATAAAGTAAGTGACAAAATGTGATATAATCGTTCAAATGAATATAAGGTTTAGATGTACCTGCGTTACTAGAATCGATTTTGAGTCAACACCTAGTCTCCAACAATTAGTTTTAGTTGACACGCGACCCTCAATCTGGAAGTCTACATTTGTCTACATGGCTCGAACTACTTCAAAAAGTTCGTGTGTCTGTGCTGTTTAAATCATATGACCTCAGTTTATTCCCTTAGGGTTCAACAATCATGGGAGTCTGGACATAGTGTCTCAGGTAGGTTGGTATATTTCTCACTTCCCGTGGGACGCGCTACCACAGGACGTCTTGATCAACGGAATCAAGTCCTGCTTTTATGCCAAAATATACAACCTGTGTCAGGGAAAGATGTTTGTACCTGTATTCCAAGACCTAGTTGAGAGTAGTAATCTTAAGGACACCCTCAGATACGTACTAAATCTACCTACTCTTTTCGAAATTGCAGCTCATGAACTCTAGCTGGGCATCTCATGATTTCAGAACATAAAATTCCAGACAGTGTTGATCAGGCTGACTTGTTTGTGGCTATTACAAGAAGATTTTCCTCCTTTCTCGAAGATTGTGACGATCAGCAACTGACAACAGTCAGCCTAACTCAATCCTAGGACCCTGGCTTGACAATCTCTGAAGCCAGCTGCTCATCTCAAGTCAGCTAAAGCCTTACGAATTTCAGCAAGAGTTGGACGGCCTATTTCAGTGTTCCATTTGGGGTCCAATTAGACAGTGAGCAAAGGAATAGTTGGGAGTCAGTTGCGATGTCCCTTGAAGTTTTCTGCCCATCATTTCAGTCGCCTTTCTAAGAATGAATCGCTGTGAACACACTAGCATCCGTATTGGGAAGACCACTCGAAATCACAAAATAAAGTGTAGTCTTCACATCAAGGAATATACAGCTGTACAAGTACATGCAAATAAGAAAGAGTTGCTGAATTGCTGGTGTCAAAGAAAAAACAAAGATGAAGCCACCAACGCAGCTGGTTACAGAGGACAGATCATGAACAGAGCAGATTATTAAAACTAATGCTTCAACCGCCCCATGTTACTTTCGTAGATAATATCCTAACTTGTGAAATGTCACTTTACCGAGTTTGCTCAATGCGAACGTATGTCAACCGATTTAGGAAAAGAGACCGTTAGAGTTTCTTAGATCAACTTCTGTGAGTTGGTAAGTTGTAGGGTGATGAATAAAGTCGCTGTCGGAATTGAGTTGATAGAATACATAAGTTGAATCATGAAATTGAACTCTGTTGTGCACGGAGGGGTTAACATCAAAGAGTGAAGCATACCGATCAAAACTGATATGATCGTTATGTTGAGCCAAGAGCTATTTAGAGGCTTTGTAATTATCGTTGAATGTCAAGATGCAGTAACGTCTTTCATAGGGCTAAACAACATGGATTAAAGTTGTTTGGATAATGAGTATTCCATCCTGGCTTTTAAATAACTAACCTTTCGTCGTCTGTTTTAAAGTGTAATAAGGGAAACTGATAAAATAATGTAAGGTTATGCACTGTCAAGCATGAAAGGTTACACTAACATTCTGCATATTACAGTTGAAAAACAAACACACGAACTGGAAACGTCTGAGAACACAAAGATATTTTTCTGGTGAAAGAGTCATTTTCTCGTCATTGCAGAGAATCAATCAACTGGTTTTCCATACACTACAACAGAAAGTAAAGTCAAACATATCACACCGATATGATTTTCAAAATCCTGTCTGAAGAATAAACCCAAAAGTCACTGAATAAGTGAACCCATTTTTGGATGGTGGCAAAAGTATGGACATTCATAGAAGTCAAATGTTTGAAACTTTGATAAAAATTATGCAGATCACTTGTAATGATCAACCCTACAAGTGTATTAAGCCATACAATATCTGAACGAAAACAAGAAAAGCGCATACTGAATATACTGGTCTAGACAACTAACCTCTGTTTACGCGTCAAAGTAACTGGTTGTGCAGCGCTGCCAACGATTTGATTTGCATCGTAGGGCTTAGCAGGGGAATTGGTTACACGAAGAGAACTTGATTCGCAACTACCTGAAGAATGATGAATTGTAGATTGCTGTTCTTTCCGGGAATGCTTCCAACACAATCCCTGAAATAATCAAAGACAGATAAGTTGTCCCACATTACAGTAACATGCAAAGAAAAAATCGGTAGGAGAAGAGTGATATCAAAGCTGACAAAAGTGTATCGTGCAAAAGTGAATTTGAAGTCAAGGTAAGCGAAAGAGCTAAAGCTTTGGAAAAATTCAGCGAGTGAGTACATATTTGGTCATTGTTACCGGTTGTCAGGCCAGTCACCAAAGGAGTCTAGCCAACGATTTATATGCTCTAGAGCACCCCGAAAAGGCAGCTAACGCACCCCTTTACCATTCAGACCAACAGTCACAGATTATACAGACTGATGCTACGTCAATGATATAATCTGATATTTCGCTATTCGGTGCCACAGATGATGCAAGTTGGCAAAGGTCAAAAGTGCCTCCTGTATCACAATTGAGATTTCTATTGAGAATTGGAAAACACATTCTACCACTTCACTCTCTATCCTTAAACTGGAAGCAACTGGAAATCAGCCTTGAAACATCACACCACATTTGACCGATGAAGAATCCATGCTAAGCACAAGCATATTTCTGCTCAATGCGCTCCGAAAACTGTGCATCTGGTCAGCGTTTTCACCTAACAGAAATATGTCATCTAGGTACTCCCAGGAGTAAGTCAATCCTTGTAAAGTTGGAGGTAGTTAGGGTTGCACATTGGTGAACCAGCAGTGAAGCTAAACAAAAGCGGTAATAGGAGACATCCCTGTAGACACCATCGGTTGTTGTTACAACACATGACAGCTCTTCATAGGCCCTTACACGGCTGTATGAGTTTGAGAAGAAATCTCTTATTAACACTGCATACTTGCTTGGTGCTCCATTTCACAGTCAGGCACTGTCTCAAAAACTCGACTGAAAGAGTCGAACACCACCTTCAGATCAAGAGATGTGGCAAGTATCGGCAGCTGGTAAGTAGGCCTGCATTTCAAGACCCGTTGAAAGACAAAGATTTGGTTGATGCATCCTCTCCCGGCTTTGAAACCTGTCTAGTTTTCTTGAATTTGTTGTTTTCAAGCTTCAGTCAGGTGTCGAATAACTACAGAGGATCTTGGACGCAATGTTAGTCAAACTGATCCCCATACGGTTGCCGCAAGAAGACTAACTGGCAATCGAAATAAGTCCGACTGGACTTCCTTCGATTCTCATATATTAACTACTGCCTCCGTTACTCTACTCAATAATTTACCACCTCAAAAAATTCTGGTGGCAAATCGCTATGTTCTCCTGCTTTGCATCGTTCCAGGTTTGAAGTAGCCGTCGCAGTTTTCAGAAGAGTTGAAACACTATTGTCCACCCCCTCCCCCATTTCGGTTCGGGCTGCATATTGCCGAGTATCACTTAATGTTGATGCCTTCTCCAACCCTAGCTCTCTCTGCCAACTACCGGTCGTGATCATTTTGTAGGCTCTTAGTCTATTTACTTTTCAGCTGCTTTAGTTCCTCATTGTAATCAGAGTCAGGTGGCATGAATCTTATGGTATTACTCAGTTCGGATGTGGTTGCGGAAATCCATTGGCCTTTGCTGACCTTTGGATGTACACTATCAAATATCTTTACCTCTTTTTCTAGAGGAGACTGAATATTACACCAGGTTTAATCTGGATAAGAATTGCTGTCACGTTCAGATAAATGCTTGGCCATCTTCGTAAACAGCTACTAAACGTTTTTATTTTGGACAACTGAACCAACCGGACATAAGTATCATCGTTGATTATTAATTAATCGAGTTTCAAATAGAAAGCTAAATGATGAGAAACACTTTAAGTTTTTACTCATGTAATTTTGTACGTTAGTTGAATTCAAAATATGTTGTTTCCCAGTCAATAGTAAACAAACTGTTTGAATAATATTGTAGGGGAAATTAGGATAAAGGGGGTAGTTGTCTCCAAGACCCAAGTGAGATTTTGATCCGACTTTCAGCGCGTGTAATGATGAGATTTTAAGAGCTGCATTTACATGATTGACAGTAACTAGGAGACTTTCATGTATGGTTTGACTATTCAAGGTAGTGGCTTTCACTAGACTAGTTTGAAATCAAGCTCTTTCATGTTTAAATAAACGCTTCACAGTCACGAAGCAAGTAGCATGAACAGAGAACCTTTTTTTTATCTTTTCACTTTTATGGAAGCACCAACAGTATGTGGAGATCTTGAATAGATCAACTCTGTGACGAACTAAGGCCTGCTGAATGATAGCGTGTCACCATCTTTCATGGAGTTTAAATTAATGTTGTCCAAAATTTCAACCCTCATATGATTTAAGAACAAAAACATTACAGTCACAACTGCATTCAGAACTGGATGATCAAATGCTGTTGTATCAAATCCAAATGCAGATGAATTAAACCTAACTTCGAACACCATAACATGCTGAAAACTTGTGAAAGACACATCAGCAATGCAATTATGAGCAGAACAGAAAGGTAAAAGTAAAGCTCGAAAGATTGAGTAAAATTATACCATCGCATCTTTTCAACCGTTTTCATAGACAAACAGAAAAAATCAAAGTAGAATCTCGCAGAGAAGTGTATCCGCTCAAGTTTCCACACTTTACAGTAGTGTGCAAATAACAAGTGGAAAGAAAAAAACTGATATCAGAGAAGACAAAGGTATATGGCAGGAGAAACAATATGGAGATAAAGGTTAGTGGAAATATTCAAGCTCAAGAAGATAACAAAGAGAGAATTCATCTGCGCCATTGTGACCGGTTTTCAGTCGTCACCCAGAGTTCTTCATCACCGATTCCCTTCGTCGCGCAAACCATAGTCAGGCAATCTGCATCTCCCTACACGGTTTAGACCAACAGTTAGGGACTTCATACACTCGTACCACGTCTTGGTCTGGTCACCCCGAGCCTTCCTTCCAATATAATCCCACTTCCCATAGCACTGCACGTCGAGGTAGGCGGTGGCTCAGCATGTGCAGTGTATGCACAAGCTATCTCCGTCGGTAAAGGTCCATGACCTCATCAATCAACTTGCCTGTCTTCCCTAGTACCCTTCGTCTGACCTCAACACTGCTCACAGAGTGATTCCACCAAACACGAGGAATGTTACAAAGACACCCATGATCAAAAGTCTCAAACTGCTTCATGTCTCCTACTTTCAACGGCCATGTCTCACAACCATATAACGCGGTAGAACGGGCTGCAGCGCAGTGTGCTCGTCCTTCGATAGGTAGTCGTATATCCCACCAGTCGGCGCCACAGGTTATGCAAGTTGGCGAATGACAAACGGGCCTTTGGTATCCCAGCTGACATTTTGTCAACAACCAGCACGTTCGGGGTGACGCAGCTTTTCAAGTAAGTGAAGTGGTCGACATATTCCACCACTTCACTCCCTATCATTAAACTGGGAGTAGTAGCAGTCCAGTCCTGAAGCATCATGTTACATCTGACAGGTGCCAGTGAAACGCATGCCAAATATATTCAGATTTCTGCTCAAAACGTTCACCGGACCCTATATTTCGTCGGCGCCTTTGTCAAGCAGGACAACATCCCTTACACACTCCAAGTCAACCAGATAACCTACAGGGAGCAGATGAATCCTTGTGAAGTCAGAGATACCTAAGGTTATATCCATTAGTACGTCTATAGCGAAGTTAAATATGAACGGTGACAGTGGGCATCCCTGTCAGGTGGCAAACTCAGGTTCTGATGCTTCGCATTGTCTCAGGTTCGATACAGCCCTCTCAACTTTGAGGAGAGTTGGAGGACCAATATCTACATCAAATCCACGTTCATACTGGATGTTAAATAACTGAGGCGTAGCTGGGGGTCAGTTGAACTGTGCTTCAAAGTGTGCTGCCAAATGTTATGGCCGCCTGTCCTGGGAGGTTATCAGCATCCCATCATTTTCGATGATCGTTCCACTTACCGTCTTTTTTTGCTGATATCCCTAATAAGTGTAAATAGTTGCCGAGTGCTACCCCATCTCTCGCTTTCGTCACCCAGTGCTGTTTGTGATCGACGCGAAGACTCTTGGTCAACTTACGTTTGAGTTGCTTTCGCATTTCATTGCGGTCGGAGCCAGTTAAAATCAATCTTCTCGCACCGATCAGTCCGGATAACGTCGTGGTGTCAAGTGTAGATTACCAACTGCCTTCACCGCTGTTTCGATTAGCAGACTTAATACCATGCCGGGTTTCCTCAGGATGAGCATTGCTGTCGTGTCCAGATAAATGCTTAGTTATCTCTAAATGCGTACTTGGCGTCTTCATTTTCCAATCGAGCACAGATAGGCTTTACTATCGTCCGTCTCCTGAGATCAGTAAGGCACAGACAGACAAGCTAGTACTATCGCGTTGACGCATGGTCGGAGCCCAAACGGGCAACCCCATAAAGAGCGGGAACCCCCGACTGATCCCCCCAACGACGGCTTATAGCAATGTGCTCTATTTTTTTTCATCGCTGGTTTGATGTCGGTGGGTAGTGCCTCTCCTTATGTCTAAAGTTAGTGCTGGCCAGAAACAAGTAACTATCGGAAGAAAATTACAACAGACGATCGTCGTGGTCAGTTTTTTGGCATGGGATTCCGTAAATACTCCCAAGATGCCTTACCGATTGGCTCAGCTTCCGTACTTTAACGATGAAGCCACCTGCCGTTATGACTACATCTGAACGTTTTGTTTTCTGTAGCAAGATTTACAAGTTCGCATACAATTTATCTTTTGCATCATCCGAACTGCAGTCAGCAGGTGTATAGGCGGAGATTACGAATAGGTATCATCTAGTCTCAGGATCTTTCCTATTGCTCATAGATCCATTCAACTGAACAACATATAGATGGCTTTTGATTAGTATCCAGTCGATACTCGTAAGGTGAATTTTGAAGATTCACTACAATGGCCAGGTGAGATCAATTAAGTAACGGCACTTGGGTCTTGTATACGTGTCTCAAAGATACAGCACACATCCATGACTATGGATTCCACGGTTCTGAAGAGCGGTGCTTGTTATCTGATTTGATATACGGTTCGGACGCTGAAAGCTCCTACATGAAATCGATGTTGTAGTCTTAGGAGACTAGGAATGAGGTTTTGATGGCTCTGGTTGTTAACAATGGTTGCAGAGAGACAGGTTGGGTAAGATGTAAGGGGCTTAGTACTATAGTATCAGGAGGTGAAGGTGAAGGAGACAGAGTTGAGGAGGTATGTGTAATACTGCAAGCGTGTGGGCGGTTGACACTTCCCCGCACCGTGGGATACCTGAAAAAGAAGGGATACTGTGTGGTCGCAAAGCTCAAGAGACATCTGCTTGAGGCCAGTTACACTGCCTTTTGGAAAGTCTGGGATTTTTTGCTTTTGAATCCGACTGTGAATCCCAATTGCAGGTGACGGCATGCCCCAATGGAGTGGGTGTGCTGTTTTCGGAGCTAGCCTTTTCCAACACCTCATTCGCACAGAGAAGATAGCATTACTGTGGCATTGCTGACCATCCAAGGGAAACACCTTACTGCTGTCACATTCCCGTCTAGCCAGTAGTACGACTTAGCCCTAAGACCCGTCATAGTGTAGAAATTTACATCATAGTGGTAACTGCTTTTTGTCTAATATGCAACAGACCTTTTTGGTATAGCGGGACTTCAAGTGAATAAGCGTCCCACCAGCAGAGCTTGTTGGGTCATTGTGATATACAAGCCCAATCACCACATTAAGGTAGCAGCTGTCGGTCGGGTATGGTGCCATATATGAAGCGAGATGGCAAATGCCAAATGAGCCTTTTGTATCCAAGTTGGGATTTTGTCAGCAACCAGCCAATTTGTATCAATGCAACTCCCTATCGTCACAATCCAGCACTGATGAAAAAATCATACAATTAAGATTTGCGCACAAACTTTGACGATTATAATCGTGACAAGCTTATCCTTCAATGTTTAGGTGATTAAAAGCTGAAAAACTAAAAAGGATTGTGATAGAAGTGACTGTATGTTCAGTTACTGATACATTTCAACTACGGCATTATAGTAAGAGTTAAAATATCATGCGATTTGACTCAACACGCTTCATTTACTAGACTAGACTAGACTACTAGACTATAAACTATACGGTATGCGGGGTCCCGGGGTACGAACCACTCGCCCAGGCTAAAGTAGGTGGTGAGTTTAAATCATAAACCGACTGTTTGGGTGAATGCTCAAAACTAATAAGCCACTCCATTTCAACATCAGTTAAATAATACTCTTGACAATACTACGAAAGTCATTTTGAATTTATGGAACTTACCACCAGGCGTACATCCTTATCGACAAGCTCTTGACGCATGATCAGGTTGCTCTGAAAGGCGCACGTGACGTGAAAAGCTGTTTTACACTTCAAATTAGAGCACTGCACAGGAGCACCATAGCGCGAACGACATATGGAACACAGCAAATTACGCCTTGCTTGTGGTATACTGTCCAGCTTTATGATAGGTTCCATCAGTTCTACGTTGCCAAAACCAACTTCCGGAACCCATAAGGCGCAACTAACATGACACCAGCGTTTCCCGTCACTAGGAAAATAACTTTCTGACGCATAACTTACTCAGATAATTTCATAGCCCCACCAGTGTTAGGGCATAAGAAGCAAGGAGTAGTTGACTTGACACCTGCTTCGCACTGTCTACACATCCATGACCCTTCAGGTATCTGAAGGATGCCATAACAGGCTTGATGAACACACAGAAAACAACCATCGCAAAAGACCAGTTCGTTACCATCTTCACCCTCAAACTAAAAACAAAAAATGAGTTTTGAATAAATTACAAACCGATAGACAAATATCACATCTGGCATTCTCATCAAATTCCAAACACTGTACATCGATTTCCTTTATTTTTTCACGCATCTTAATGTACGTCAGGTATTCCAAAGTGGTAATGATCTTTTCCAGCATCCAGTCTTCGATAAGTACTTGTCCAAGGCATTCTCTCTCTTCGTTCACTGTAGCGATCCATGCATAATCCAAGTCATCTACGTGGTAATACGAAGCTTTTTTGATTTTCTTGTCAACCAAGCAATGTATAGCTTCGTCGTAGTTTTCATCCACACACTCAACCCGTAGTTTCTCAGGCCTTGAGAAATAAAATTTCAATGCAACTTACATAACTAGACGATTAGCATGCCTTTTAGGACAATTTAGATTTAGTTTTCTGAAGTAAACATTTATTTTACAATCCTACTTAAAGACAGGTCTGGGTTGATCATTTGCATTTTTGACAGGAACCTGAACCCCTTCTCGTTGCCATTCTGGCTTCCAGGAATTTAAAATAAGTACAAGATTGTCTTTTCTCCCACATTCACTGTCAGCACTTATCATCATTGCAGATAAGGGATGTCTATCAAACAACTTAAAAAGGGTTTGAAAAACAAAAATCCCAAGTCTTCATACCTCCGCAGGGACTTCATCATCATTTTCAGGAAACGTAGGAGCCCAGTTACGAAGTATTTGCCTGACCTCTTCCAGATTATCCATCACATTAAATGGCAACGCTTAACGTTGTAAAACGCGGCTTATCTGTTTCAATACGCAATAAATTAGCACCAGCTTAGTATAAATAAGATCCCTCAAGGCTCTTATTTTGTTCTGAAAATGCGACTATTGGTGATTTTACGCATTATTTCTAATTAAATATCTGATGAAATTGTTTGAACTACGCTATTGACAAGGTGGTCACTTGAGTTCACCAACAGCTTTTGGGGTAGGAATATCACTTCAAAAAATGTCTGTTTGTCCTTTAGATCTTTAGCACCGATAAGGTAAATGCCTATCACGGATCCCGACTATGAACTACCGAGGATGAGGCAAAATGTTAACTTTTATTCCTCAAATACCTGTGAAAACCTGAGCATGCTACTTCTAATATTGTAGTTTACTTGATTTCGTACCTATTTCGCATGAACCTGCCGTAGAATCTCCGGCGTTTGGGAAGCTGCACTAAAGTTTCCTTCCTTGTTTCCGAGGGTCTAATGATGTTTTGTAAGTAAGTTTTTGGTGCGAAGCTTACACACAATACAAGTTTTTACCTTGTTAGTACTTCAAGTAAAATTGCTGCTCGTGATCACACCAACGTCTTGAATATCCTGGCAGTATTTGTAGATAAAAATTCTTTGTAAATATGACCAAAATACTGCAGTCTTGGGTGTTATCACGGGCAGTACTTTTATTCAAAATATCACTGGGATAAAACTTCGTATTGGGTGTTTATTTACATGTGTAATCCAGAGGTAGTGTATGAGAACAAACAACAAAGTCAGCAAACATTCTCCATCATTCCTCATGGTTTTGGTCTCGCTGGGAAGATCTTTATACCAGTCCGGATAGATGAATATTTGAATATCAGACAATATATCATGAACAAATGAACGGTAATAATAATAATAACAGTTGAATTGCAAGTGACAACAAGTAGATTACCTAATGTACAGAATGACTTATAGAATGTATATAACCCAGAAAGAAATGTAGAATTGATGGAACTGGTCAATCAATAAGGTTTTGTGTAATAGGACTAGATTTAGGATTTGTCCTGGTGCGAAATTGACAGACGCAAAGACCAATCACTAATTATTCGGACTTGTTATATACCCACGAATACGAGACCAAGGAAGAACTCGATAGCGTAGTTGGGTGGAGTAGTATATTTGGATAGTTGTGCCAAGATACCGATGCGTTCCAACTAACTGGCTATGGAGTCGAGTACGAACAGTGCAACGTAACACGACGGTGTACCAAATGGTCAGGATGCTTGACCGGGTGCCTTCAGCTTAGCGAGTCCAGTTAAACTATGAGGGTCAGCATCAATGTCGAAGTCGTCGAACGCTAGGCTATTGATTTTGGGGAAGTGTGTGACGCTACATTCCAAATGGGGAGTCAGATCTTTTAATTTGCACAGGTGTGGGTGCAATGTGTTCATCACCATGAAGAACACCCTGACGTTGTAGCTATTAAGGATGCATCTTATTTCCTCTGATGTGGATGTTCAGTAGGGAAGCATTATAATACTTGCCGAATCTTTATGGCTTGGCTTTTCTGTATCTTTATTCGATAGGCTTTCTCCTATCCTTTTTAATAGCTTTTCCCGGCACTTGTTTTGTTCTAAGACTTCCCGAACAAGTTGCCTATCTACTTACTGGGATTCCACTTTATTTGGTATACTTTGTGACCTCATCAACATATTTTTGGCAACGGTTAACCTAGTTTCCAACGAGTGAGCTGAACGGAAGTCAACGTACTTGTTAGAATGTGTCTCTTCTTGATGGACATCAGCGTCAAGCATCTCATCACTGTTTCGTTTCGCCTCGCAGTCTAGGAAATCCAGCCTTCTGAATCCTGTTTCCGGCTCATATGTGAATTTCGTAAACTTAAAACGGCCGCTGAGATACTCAGAAATTTTCTGGACCTCGTTTTTTGGTCATGATGGCGTTGTCAGCGTACCCCTACCATATTCTCATTTTTAAATAATGTTGACTAGGTGCGTCTGATTCTGCTTTGTGCATGTATAGATTAACCACAGTGGGTGAGACAGTGAACCTATTGCAACCACACTAGTTTGACGATAAAGGTCCCCTCAAAAAGTAAAAAGGGTTGAGGTCAGACATAATCCCACTGCATCATAGATTTCGCTTATGGAAATAGTGCATCTAAGTGATAAAGAGGTATCTGACTCTAATAAAAATCTAACAGCTTTCGTGCTTTTATCAATCGGAATATTTGTATGCAGAGGAACAGTATGGAAGCTAACTGTTGTTTCACCATCTTCAATGGTTGTTTGTGGTAATTTACGTCTGAAGTCCGACGAATTTTTAGTGATGCTTACGTAGTTGCCCTGCAGTGGTTGAAGGACTTTTGTGAGATATTTGAAACGTTATAAGTCGGAGAATAAGTGAAGTCCACAATTAGACGAGTCGGTAAATTAGGTTTGTGAATTTTTGGTAGATCACGGAGGCGTGAAGCAGCATAACATTTTGGTATTAAATTAAAACACAAGGCATCCCCCTGCTTCGATTTCAGATTGTGCAACGATTTGTTAATCTGTAGTCTTACCTTGTTAAGTGTGGGCTTACGCCTCTTCTCATTAATTGTTTAATAAGTCCCACTGCACAAGTGCTCTGTGACATTTCGCTCACAGTCTGGTGTGCTCATGACAACAGTTGTTTCCCTTGATAATGATAAACATAAAAATATTTCTTGAATAACGCATTTTACGGATACTTGCCATTTTTACGGGCAATATCTAAGCGTTACTTCCCTATTGAAGCTGTAGAAGCTCAGAAAGAAACAAACCACAGTGCCAAACAAAGTCTTCCGGAGTAAATAGCTGTTCAGATGTTGCTGGTCACAAATACTGGATGACAGCGATGTCGCTAAACAACAGCAGTGAGAATTAATGAGGGTATGACGTCTCAGTATAGGAAGTATCCTGGCAGTAGTGGGTCATGTCATCTATAGGAATATATTTCACATCGAATGATGGGAACAAATGAACCCGAAGATATGTCAACATTCAATGAATGAACGGCGAGTGAAACTAGAGCTAAATGCCGGGATGGACTGCGGTGAGGAATTTAGCTCTCTTATTGTATGATATCATGCAAAGTGTGGCAGTTGTTCGGGTCTATATTTTGCGAGGAGAGTCACTTCAGTAAATAAGGCCAGGGATGCAATTCTATCCAGCCGCTGCTGTAGTATTACGGTGGAGAATATGTGAGGTTTCGCCACAAAACCAGCCAATAAAACCTCAAGGTAGACAAGTTATGTGATGTCACTGATGGTTTGTTTCGTTTCCGGGTGAGTGGTTGCGGCTTTTATAACCCGTACATTCTTGTCATTTCTTAAAGAGCGAATTGCACGTCTCTCTTTTTCGATTAGTTGGAACATGCGTTAGTTTATGCCTAACTTCTACGACATCCTGCAGAATTAGTTCTGGTGCTTATCCTAATAACGGCGCGACTTCTGGTGTGGTTGTGGGCGGGCGACTTAAATTTACGCTCGGTCACTTGGATAATAACGAGTCTTCCTCATTCGTGAGGAGACGATCGGATGCATTGCATAATACCTCCGGATCAGATTATTTGTTGCATCGCATGATGTTTTGTCTGTTAGAGCTTGGGTTTAGTGCAGTGAGTTTTCGTTTCCGCTTTAATTTGGCTTTTTTCATGCAATAACTCTATCTTCGTTTCATGAAGTCAAGTAATACATCATGTAAGCATTCCGGAAAAAGAAATCCTATGCCACCATCCACGATTTTTATACGATTCCAAAATGATCTTAACATTACTGCGCTTTCAGGCTTTCTTCTTCGCAAAAATGTTTTAGTGGTAGATTTTACTGCGATAAGTGAACGATGAGATTTCAAAGGGTCCTTAAATTTCAAGGATATGGGAAGTACGTCAAGATTTAGACAGTGGGAGTTGAAAATGCAATGTTTGTACGAAGTTAAAATATAAGCTTGGAAACTTATTCCGACTAGAAATAAAAACTTATGTTTGAATGTGAAGTCTGTATTTAAAACTTGCCTGTAATGCATTAATTCCGTCCTAAAATGCCTGGACCCTCCAACGACAAATCCAATAATATTAACTCGGTTTCTGAGTCATCAAACTCCACACGCTTATCAGGAGTTTTAACCATGCAAAGGCCGGCTGTAAGAGGTGTACAAATTCCTAATTTAATCAACTGCCATGTTGGTCGGCAACGTGGGTCGGAAAGCATCCGTCGCCGTAGATGACAGTAGGCATTGGGATAATCGGCATGTTCATTACAGATACAAGTTCGCGAGATGCCGCTTTACATTCCGGATTAAACTGAAGTTTAAACATGAAATTGTCAAACTTGTCAACGCCATGCAAAGTCTCTGGCTTTCTCAGGAAGTTCCAATTCCCGTATGACCATAGGGCTCGAAGACTCATTTATGTGCGGTTCGAGGGATTCTTGCAGCAAATCGAAAATGTACGCCACTTTTCCATAACCGCAGTTTAACCACATGGACCGAAGTTGCAGTCTGCACCTACGGCTTCAATTTTACTACCCCTAAATGCAAACCATTATGAGTAGTCACTAAGGGTACAAAAAACCCCGTCAGCATTCAACATGATGACAAGACAAAGTAAAAACAAGGAGTACGAAACGAATAGCGACGGCAAAAAAACAGTACTACACAAAAATGTCCGAAATTATCTCATAACTATACATCACGTCAACAAGTACCCTATACAATATAGGTGACGCTTAAAAGGAAATAGATAAGATGGAAGGGAACTGTGAAAAGAAAAGTTAAGAACGACACAATATCGGACGAAATCCTTGATATGCCGTGGCAAACACCGATAATATTTCACTCCATCTTGAGGCCAGTGATGGCAAATGGGCGAGAAAAAGGCTAGCGGAAAACGGCGCCAACAAAGTGGGCCAAAATTTAGGACAAATTACGAAAGGAACCCTGTTCAAATTTCGGAGAAACATGCAACCAAAGA